CTCCAAACTTAACTCAGTGTTTTTCTTTAATTAAAAGTGATCAATAGTGAAAACTAAACTTTGGCATTTAAGTTGAGAGAGGAAGACTGAACTTTTGAACTCATGAGCTTTTTCACTCAGAGACAGAAAAAAAAGGCTTGGGTTGTTATGTAAAATACAGAATAGAGTTACAGAATAGAATCAACTACAGGGTGGAATCAAATGAAAAATACAAAATCAACATTTGGTTTTCTCAGTATGTTACCTATTATATTTTATGGATTATTTCATGGTTACTGTGTTAGGAAAAGTGCATGTTATCAGAATTAATGTTTTGCTATAAAGAATTTTATGCAAAAAAATTTCTTTTCAGCAATCTCTAGCAAAAGATTACAGTTTGGGGTGGTCATGGGAACCTAACCCCCTATTTCCCATAGGCTCAGTGTATCAACATTCAAGTTTTTTACTTTCATCCCAATTTTCTGAGACTGTTGCCTCCAAGAAAGTTGAGGATTGACTGAACTCTATTCATCATCAGATCAATAGAGGAGTCTAATTAAACAGAAGGCCTGAGAGTAGTTCTATTTTATCTTGATGATCTTAAAAACATATAAAGCATTCTGCATTAGTAGTGCCTGGTCATATAGTTTTCATTTTGGTTTTTAAACAAAAAAAGGAAGGAGAGCTACAGGTTGTTAGCTTAGTTTTAGCTGGATCAGGTAAAGGTTTTTTAAAGACAAGGAAATCTGGGAATAATTGTAGCATGCAGGGAATAAGGAATGATTACTAAAGAGAGATTGAGATTAGGAGAGAGGGTAAACAAAGGGGCAAACATCCTAGTTGGGGGATGGGATCAAGGATACAGGTAGAAGGGCTGGCTTTGGCAAGTAGAACCACCATTTTTCTCTAAGACTGAGGCAAAGGAGGAAAAGATGATGTTGAAGGGAGTTGGGTATAAAATTGGGGAGAAGAGAGGTCATATAGTGGATGGCTTCAGTTTTCTCAGTAAAGTATGAAACTAAATCATCGCTAAACTAGGACAATCAATCCATCTGTCAAGGGGCATATATTAATCACCTAGTATTTGGTAGATACTATGCTGAGTAAGGTCTTGGGATAAACTCTTCTGATTGGTGAGTTCATGAGGAACCACGGCCATGCTCACTTCTTTTCTTGTTCAACTTACTCTCTGGACTTCTTACTAATAGCTTTTCCCCCTTGTCAATATCTTCTCCAAACAGGGACCATCTTGTTTTCTTGTATTTGTATCCCTGTAAGTACTTAATAAGTGCTATGTCTTATCTATATCTATCTAAGCACTGGGTATACAAATAAAGATAAAAACAAAGCCTGCCTTCAAGGTGTTTCAGTTCTACCATTGGAAATAGTATGTCAATAAATTGTTACATACTAGATACAGCTACAGTAGGTGGAAAGTAATCTTAGAAGAGAAAGCTCTAGCAGCTAGAAAAGGAAGGGGGAGAAAGAAGGGAAATGGGAACATCCTCCTGCAGAGGGTGGTGTAGAGCTGGTGGTGGTATAGGTGATTTTAGGAGATAAGAGAAGGTTTGGAATATGTGCTATAGAAAGTGAGAGGAAGTCTATCAGGGAAGAGCACAAGGATTGTCTTACAGCAGTGAGAGACCAGTAGAGATTAGATGACAAATTTGTAGTGGAACTAATCAGCACAGTTGGGCATTTTCCTGCAGCATCTTTCAACAGTTTATGAGTAGGAACAGAGTCTCCTCTTTTGGTGAAGGGTGGGTAAAATACCCATGTTTGGAAGAAGAAAAGTGAAAATGAGACAAAGGGGAAAGGGATGTGAAAGTAGAGGACAGCATAAAGTGGAACTAGATAATTAGAGTTAAGATTACCTCTGATTTTGGTGTCAGTGTCCAACCTTCTGGTGATAAACCTCTCTATGCTTATCTAGACTGTTCAAAATCTTAAGCTAGTGGATTTATTTGTTTCTCTCTTCCTCGTACGCCATATTGAATTAAAATTCTGTATCCTTAACCCACTAGTATAGGCTTTTGTTACCACTTTCTTTGGCCATTTATTTTGTTAATAGATTTTTGTTAGTATCTTTTGTTTTTCCATCAAGTAGATTTTCCTCTATGTCCAACCCTCAGGAGCATGGGAGAGATTCTTCTTCTTTGGAGTCAAATATATGCTTTATAATTTCCTACCATTCATCTTTGTGAATAGTTTTTGTTCTTTCTATTTACATTGGTGTAGCCATTATGTATATTGTTTTTCTGGCTACTTACTTAACTTTGCATCAGTTCATGTAAGTTTTCCCATGTTTCTTTATATTCATCTTACTCATCATTTCTTACAGCATAGAAATAGTTTGTTAAATTCATGCAACACAATTCGTTTCCAGTTACATGCTAGCACATGTGGAGCCTTTCTTTTGTCAATTATTTTTTTTAGGATATATACCTAGCTGTGGAATCTTTCAGTCAGAATTTATGAGTATTTTAGCCATTTATCTGCATAATTCCAAATTGCTTCCAGAATTCACAGCTCGACCAAGAATCCATTACTATGCCTGTCTTTCCTTACTCTCTCCAATATCTACTATTCCCATATCCTGTCATCTTTGACAGTTTTCTGGGAGTGAGGTACAACTTTGGAGGTTTCTATTTCTATTTCTCTAATTGTTAGTGATTTGGAGAATTCTTTGATATGGTTGTTAATAGTTTGCGATTATTCTTTTGAGAATTGTCTGTTCATATGTCCCAAACACTTCTTTTAGGGATTGACTTTTTGTCCTGAATACTTCTGTTAGTTTTCTATATATTTTGGATACTAAACCCTTATCAGTATTTTGATACAAAGATTTTTTTTCTTTGTGGACTATTTCAATAGTGTTTTAACCAGTCTTCCTACTTCCACTCTCTCTCCTCCAATCCATCTTTTGTAGTGCTGTTAGATTAGTTCTCCTTATGTACAATCTTAATGTGTCATTTCTCTGTTTAAAGTCTTATGATCTGGGGCAGCTAGGTGGCACAGTGGATAGAGCTCCAGCCTTGTAGTCAGGAGGACCTGAGTTCAAATCTGGCTTCAGACACATAACACTTACTAGCTGTGTGACCCTGGGCAAGTCACTTAACCCCATTGCCTAGCCAAAAATCAAATCAAATCAAATCTTACAATCTGTCACACACCCTACCTTTTCATTCTTCTTGTACCACTTCCCTGTAGCCAAAATGGATATTCCTTATGTATATGCTGTGTTGACCTACCTGTGTATCTTTGCTTTTGTTGTTCTATATACCTGGCATGCCCTTTCTACCACCACCTTCCCATCTCTGCTAGTTGAAATTTTGCCTCACCCAACTGCTGTTTCTTTCATGGAGTGTTCTTTGATTTCCCTGTACTATACCCTAAACAGTAACAATCTTTCTGTTCCCTACCTACTTGCCCTCTACGACCATGAACTTTGTATAAACTTATTTGGACTTTCTTATACATCAGTATCTTTGTGTGTATCAGTTATACATATACATATACACATACATATATATGTATATATAATATAATATTATATTATGTTATATTATATTATATTATATTATATTATATTATATTATATTATATTATATTATATTATATTATATTATATTATAACCTGTCTTCTAGATTTGTGAACTCTGTGAAGGGCTGGGTAATTTAATTTTTTTTTCTTTTTTAAAAATTTATTTATTTTTAGTTTTCAACATTCACTTCCACAAGATTTTGAGTTCCAAATTTTTACCCCATCTCGCCCCTCCCTCCACCCCAAGATGGCATGCATTCTGAATACCTCTTCCCCTAGTCTGCTCTCCCTTCTGTCTCCCCCCCTTCTCTTATCCCCTTCTTCTATTTTCCTTTAGGGCAGGATAGATTTCTGTGCCCCATTTCCTATATTTCTTATTTCCCAGTTGCATGCAAAAACATTTTTTTAAACATGTGTTTTTAAAACTTTGGGTTCCAAATTTTCTCCCTTCCTCCCTCTCCACCCACCCTCATTGAAAAGGCAAGCAACTGAATATGGGTTATACATATGCAGTTATGCAAAATATAGTAGTCATGTTGTGAAAAACTAACTCTATTTCCCTTAATCCTATTCCACCCCTCATTTATTCTATTCTTTCTTTTGACCCTGTCCCTCCTCAGAAGTGTTTGCTTCTGATTACCCCCTCTTCCAATCTGCCCTCTCCTCTATCATCTCCCTGCTCTCTTGTCCCCTTCCACTACCCCCCCCATTTTCTTGTAGGGTAAGATAGATTTCCATACCCAATTGAGTGTGTATGTTATTCCCTCCTTAAGCCAAATCCTATGAGAATAAGATTCACTCATTCCCTCTCACCTTCCCCCATTTCCCCTCCACTGTAAGAGCCTTTTCTTTTCTGTTTTTTCGTGAGATAATTTACCCTGTTCTACCTCTCCCTTTCTTCTTCTCCTAGTATAATCCTCTCTCATCCCTTAATTTTATTCTCCAGATATCACCCCTTCATTTTCAACTCACCCTGTGCCCTCTGTCTGTCTATCTATCTATCTATCTATCTATCTATCTATCTATCTATCTATCTATACATACATGTAATTTTTTTTCCCTCCAACTACCCTAATACTGACAAAGGTCTCATGAGTTACATAAATATTTTTCTTTCCCACGCTATCTAATACGTAGCATGATTAGCTCCTAACAGATACTTAATATCTAATTGCTTTGGTTGAAGTTCTATGACAGGTGCCCTATTTGCCCACCAATAGAAAATGTTATAGCTCAGAAACTCTCACTTTCAAGAGACCTGACCCATTTTCCACATTTCTCCAAAAGGAGAAGTCCTTTACAATCCCCATGTTATACACATCACAGCTTCTCCTCTGCCCAGCCAGAGTAATTTCAAATCCAGCTCCCTACCTCCCATGAGTTCCCCTTGGTTGCAGTTCAGATTTTTGGAGCCTGGTAGAAATACACCCTTTCGACATTCTCCTGAGCTTCTTTCTGCCATTTCTCTATCACACAGTGAACGGCCTCCAAGCCCGGACCTTTGGCATCTGGACTCTGCTCTCGTCAGTGATTCGCTGCTTCTGTGCCATCGATATCCACAACAAGACGTAAGTAAAGGAAGGGGGGGGTTCAGGATCCTTTTGGGATTCAGACACCGGTGAAACATACAGCCCCATTCTCATCCAGTTTCTTAATCATAATTACATTCAATTCATATTGATAACAAAGTTAATCACTTCTGCTGCCTTAGGGCCTGAGACCCTCAAGTGATTTAATGATGTCTTTAAGGTCTTAAGATACTGTTGAGCCAACAGTGTAATGTGTTGCTGTCCTAGTGGTGCCCATTTTTTTTTTAACATTGTCTCCAGTGTTACCTAGAAGAGATCTCCTTATATACACTTAACTCTACCCTTAGAAAGCAGAAGAAGTTAGGTGTCACAATCCTCTTCTTAAAGCCAGGGCACTCAGAATTATGTAATGAGTCATTAGAAGTAAATCTAGAGGTCCTGACTTTTCTATCTAATGCGTCGCTTGTATACTAGGAGATCTGTATATTTTTAATATGTGAGCATTCTATAGCTAATTCTGTTTTTACAGCAGAAAACTTCATCGCTTCAAACTGGTTCAAAATCAGAGAGTAATTTAATCTTGTACACCAGCATTTCAAAAGCAGTATTTTGCAGAATATGAATGAGGTTAGGGAGTTGAAAAGTCTTTGAAAGAATTTCAGTGATAGCAATATTTTCCTATCTAAAGTATTACGGTTTTAGAGCTATGCATGTTGTTGTTCAGGAATTCAGCTGTGCCTGACTTGTCCACGGAGTTTTCTTGGCAGAGATACTGGACTGTTGTGCCACTGCCTTCTCCCAATGGGTACCCATTTTACAGATAAGGAACTGAAGCAAATTGGGGTTAAGTGACTTGCCCGGGACAGCTAGTCTGAGGTCAGATTTGAATTAAGATATTTCTGACTTCAGGCCCAGTGCTTTATTCACTGCACCACTAGCTGCCCCAGATCGATGTATAGAGGTCAATATTTGTATTTAGGCTTATTTTCCTCTGAAACTTTCCTGACTCTCATTTACCCTAACCCACTGGACTAGTATTTATTGGTTCCATCAATATATTTCAAACCTCAAAGTGTCTAAGGACCAAATTTTAATTTGAAAAGCTCTCCTATTTAACATCCTTAGTTTTACCCTGTTTTGAACCACTGGAGGGCGCTCAAAGCTTTCTTCTCTGTAGCACTCATTAAGGAAACAAAATCCCAGGCATTTTTTGAGAGGCGCATCTGTGGATGAGAGGCCTTGAAAAACCAGGCTTCTTAAGACTTCAGCTTTTCTATACTCCTTTTAGAATTTCATTCCAGGTCCCTGGGACTAGTGGCTAGGACACCAAAGTGAACTGAACTGAGAGAGTCTGGCTCTGAGGGATTTGGAAAGAGGCTGTTCTCACTATGGATTCTGCAGGCTCATTATAATATTTTGAACTGGAAATGATGCCATTTTACTCCTATATCCTTAAGCATGACACCTGCCAAAGAATCACCCCTCTGTCAAGATGAAAGATGGGTTGTTTCCTGAATGTGTGCGTCATATGCTAGCTGCTTGTGCCGTGGCCAGAGGCAGCCCTTGAGGAGGTGGGCAAAGGATAACTGATGTATGACTTTGAAGGCAGCTTGTTCAGTGGCTAGAGCCCAGGACCCCATTCAAGTTCCTTCCAGTCCTAGCTCTCCCACTAACTAGATGCAAGTTGTTAAGCTAGTGATTGGCCATGCCTGCCTCAGTTTCTTATATGTAAAATAATGTAATACTTAAATGTAACTCTCAGAGCTATTTTTTAAAATAAAACAATATTAAAAATGCTATACAAGATGAAATAGTCCTATTATATATAAGGGTAGATTTTTTTCTTTGCTCTTAGAATAAATACAGTGAACCTTTAGCCATTTCTTTTCTTTTACTAATCCTTCTCCCCGCAGCATTTTCTTTGCCATCACAAGTGATCTTTTCTATAAGTAAATTCCAAAGTTCCTTCTTTCAGCCCTTTTTAGTCCCCAAACTATTATCCATCTGCCCGTGGTTGGAGTGGACTTGAAGTCACCTCAAATGCTGACTAGCTTAGTGATCTGAGAAAGTCACTTAGCCCCTCGCCCCAATTTCGTAATTCACCTTACAGGGTTTGTTGTGGGGATTACATGAGAAAACATGTAAAGGCTGGGCCCCTGAGGGCAATGGTGATTTGCAAAACTTAAAGCTTCATACAAATGCCATCTTACGCCCCTGTCTTCATCAGGGCAGGTTCTAGCTGTCCTTCAAAGCCTATCTCACAAATGACCTTCTTCATCATGATTTCCCCAAGGTGAACTCTCACAGCATGTGTGCACCTCTTCTGCAAGTCACTGACTTAGCCTTCTGTTTCCCTTCTGTTTCGCTGGATCTGTATCCACTTGCCGACACGTGGAAAGTCGCCCCTGCCTGGATATCCCGCTTATCTAGCAAATGGAAACCTTCGTTATCGTTCTTTGGCTGTATTGATTTGGGCTATGCCTGAGGAAGTGATGGTGTCTCCAGAAAGCCAACGCAGAATTCAGCTTGTTTCTAGAACTCTCCTAAGAACTAGGGAAGCATATGTTTTCTCTTACCAGAATCATCTGTTCCCATCGAATGTTTTTATACGTTGTTGGCCACTGGATTCTTTGCTGCTGAGTTAGATATTCTGCACCCCACAAAACAATAACTTCATATTCTTACTCTCTGCTCATCTGCAGTCTCTACCACATCACACTGTGGACCTTCTTCCTTGCTTTGGGACACTTTCTCACTGAGGTGTTTGTATTCGAGACAGCTGCTCCAACGGTTGGAGTCCTGGCCCCATTGATGGTGGCAAGTAAGTATAAAGCAGCTACCTTACTCCCCCTCACTGAAGGATAGTTCATCTCCCTCTAAGTTGGGGTCTAAATGTGGGAGGGGAGGAATGAAATGACAAAAGGTATGATAATTACCATGTTCATGCCAAATATTTGATTGTGTATTTAAGGTTTCTCTGTCTTTGGAATGCTGCTTGGGCTACAGTACCTGGAGGTAGAGCGAGTGTCCCGGCACAAGAAGAGAAAATGAAGCCTTGTGTACATCTGCTGTTTGCCAGCATCACTTACCCATGGCTGAGCCTTCCTCTCCTGTGTTCTCTCCCCACCCATCCTGGTGTCTTTTCTCTCCTTGGCCATCAGCCTCCTTTTTCGCCCCCATTCTCTTAGTGTTTTGAATTGCTGCCAGAGCTAGGTTTCCCCTTCCTGACCTCTACCTTCATTTTTGGTTTCATCAATTGATTTTGCTTTGTGGAGAGAAGATGAAAGCTGGAAGTCCTAAAATTGTCGTCCTGTCACAGATCATCTCTAATAGAACTTTGGTATGAGGGACTTGACTGATCAGAATGAGGTCTCCTCTCCCACTGGGACCAAGATTCTTCAGAATTACTAAGATGAGAACGTGGCCCTGTGAACCAGCAAACCCACAGAAATCTGTGTGTTACTTCTGAATTTGGAGAGGAAAGATCTCTGTCTTATAGTAGACCTTATGAAAATTGATGTGTGTGTAGGTTGTTTTGTAATAAATGGTAAACAAACATGTGCTTCCTTGGATCTCTTTGCTGTAATTTCATCTACCAGAGCAAGAGTGCCCTTGCCTCACCTGTGACCTAAGGCAACAGAAGAAAATGGAGCCATTTAGTCCACTTCCTCATCATTAAAGTAACCACTTCTTATTTTAAAGTAGCCCAAGGTCCGTATATGCCAGGAATCCTAGTCTTCATCTCTAATAGCAATGAGCTTTTAATTTCCTGTTTGCCATTCGTTTCCCATGACTCGGGGAAAATTCTTCCCTCGTTATGAAGTTCACAGTTACCAGGACCCTATCTGGTTTCCTTCTCTCTTCATAACCTCAAAAGGAGATGAATAATTGGGAAAGCAGAGGGAGAAGATATATTTAGGCCCTACACGAGTAAAGAGTCATCAGAAGCTACAGGGTAAAACCTTACAAGCCAGCCTTAAATACCAGCAAACAGATGAGACAGCATAGATTAGTAAATAGAAAGCTAGATTTGAAATCTGGGACACCCAGGTTCAAATTGTCATGGGGCGAAGCAGGATTGGTAAAAATGAATGTGAGTAGGGTTACCAACAAACAGATTAAGGAGGATCACAGGCTGCTAAAAAGAGGACACCGTGACAGCGAGGTGGTGCAGTGGATAGAGCATTGGCCCTGGAATCAGGAGGGCCTGAGTTCAAATCCAGCCTTAGACCAAACATTTGACACTTACTAGCTGTGTGCCCTTGGGCAAGTCACTTAACTCCAATGGCCTAAAAAAAAAGGACACCAGCCAAGGAAGTAAGTGGGTAGGGCCAAAAGACAACAGAAGAGTGACTATAAGGCCTAAGTGGCAAAAAAAAGACAAAACAAGGGAAGAAAAAAAAAAATTAATTGTTCTCCCTAGCATGTGTTCAGTCATTCACCAGTACTGGATGTGTTCAGGACTGTGGTGGCATACAGAAATAGATGTGACACTTGCCATCAGTCAAGAAGCTTGAAATTATATAATTAGGTCCTGAGCTCTGTGGCATGACTCTAACTGCTAAGAGCATTCAGAAGAGAAATTAATGAGAAACAAAGTAATCAGGCAAGTTTTTGTGGTGGAGTTAAGATGTAACCTGGGACTGAAATGTGATTCTGGACTTCTAAAACCTCAACAGTTTGTACCGAGGGATATGGAGGAAGGTATACATAAAAACTTCCTATGTTTCAGATTCTTATGAAGACATTAAGAATCTAGTAACACAACTACAGTACAATGGCTGCGATATAATAACAAATGAAAAAAGGCAGCTGGATTCCAGTTATAATGCAATATAACACAGTGACCAATCTTGGTCCTAGACCGATTGCGAAACTTCTCTCGGCAGAAAGGGAGAGGGGGACTATGGGTGCAGTCACTTTTGTTTCTCTTTGTTTTTGTTATGAGAGGCTATATTGGATTACAGCAGTCAGAAAAAATAAAAGGCACCAAAACTTATAAATAACTTGTATCATGTTTTATGTAGCTTATCTGTTTGGAGAGTCAGAGAACCTTGTAAGGATACTATAGCTGTTGTCCCCATAATTATGAATTAAGAAACTGACACTTGGAGAGTTTAAGTTGCCCATGATCACACAACAGAGAAATTGCCAAAGGAGGGCATGTGACCCTTTGTCTCCTGATTCCGTCCAGCACTTTTAACTGAGTTAACAAAATTCGTTTCCAGGGAAGTGTCCAAAAAATGCCTTGTTTGAGTCCTCGTGTCAAGCACAGTTGTAACTTCAGATCATTGAGACCTTGAAGTGTGTCCTTAAAGTCTCAGTGTCCTCCCTAACCCAGGTATCCAGGTGTGGGAATGAGGAAGAGCGGGGTTTCAATATAATCATTCCATAAAGGATAAGATCAGTGTTAATCAGATGCTAAAACATTCTATGGTCACAGAAATGACACTTTTTATAACACAGCTGTCCAGAAAAGACATGCAAAGGATTGGCAACAGCAGGAAAACCTGAATACCTTCCATGAGATGATCTGAAATGGAGAGACAGCAAGCAAAATAGGCAGAAGAAAATTTCCATGATACATTAAATAATTTCAAATAATGGGAGCTTTGAAATGGTAGCAAGTAGCAGCAATGGCCTGATCACCTTGGCATTCAGCAATACTGGTTTTGGTGAAAATACTTCATGCCTTTTTGGAGGCAGAACTCTAAAAAGCAAATGGACTCAGCAAGCAGCTGCCAAACCCTACTGCAGTTATGTGTAAACTGCATACTGAGGTTTCCTTGTCACAAATGGGCCATATTCATGAACCAACACATCTGAAAAATGAAGCACAAGTCTTTATATAAATAGGGATAGGAGTCTGTGATTTACATAAATAGGAATAGGACCATGGTTCCCTGTTTCCCTACAATAAGTGCTAGTCTTCCCTAAAAGGCAATAAAGTTGGCCTTGGGATTTGATTGGCCCCTGCTTCCATTGATATAGCTCATCATAAAAAGTCCTGGCCAAGTGGAGAGTTGGGGTCCCTCCAATCCAAAGTTGACAGATTTCTGAAGACCTTGAATCAACATACCCTTCTCTGCTGACCAGAAGACCAGACCCCATGAAGATGAGGACAACAGAGAATCTAAGTGCTGTTGTATCCTTGCTGTGTTAGGGCAAAGTAACATCTTTTTGTTAATTATTCAAGACTTGCCAGTGTCTCATTGTGTCCCAACATGAATGCTGGTGTTAGGCCTACTTCTAACTGGGTCTCTTCTGGATTATAGGAATCCTATTCCGACCTAAATGCAAACAGACTTCCCTCTGTTGATTATCTCCAATTTATCCTGTGTTTAGCTTGTCTGTATATAGCTGTTTGCATATTGTCTCCCCATTAGACTGAGCTCCTTGAGAACAAGGACTGTCTCTTGCTTTTCTTTGAACCCCAGCACTTAGCACAGTGTCTGGCCTGTAGTAGGTGCTTAATAAATATTTATTGACTATTTCTCTTGGCCCTCCAAAATTACCTCACAATTTCACCTTGGTTATTGTCCTCAGATGTGTATGCTGTATCATCATCCAGGACTAACGCTTTGGAAGACTTGTAACTTCATTGACAACATTGATATTGTAACTTTTACCACTACACATGGAAATCCCTCTATTTTTCATGAGTTGACAGGGTTCAAAAATTCACTTAGCAGTCAGTTTTCTCAAGAGTTAACTATGAACTTAGTGAAATTGGGCTCAGACAACATACATGATCCACTATCAAAAAAAAGCTCTGGGGGCAGCTAGGTGGCACAGTGGATAGAGCACCGGCCCTGGATTCAGGAGGACGTGAGTTCAAATCCGGCCTTAGACACATAATACTTATTAGCTGTGTGACCCTGGTCAAGTCACTTAACTCCATTGCCTAGTCAAAAAAAAAAAAGCTCTGGCAAGTTGGTAAGACCTACTAGGTTTTGCACTCCATTTGCAAAACATTGCAGAAACCAGGGTTTACCCATTCACCATGAGGGGCATCTGAGTAGAACACTCCTCCCCAAAAGCCATTCCTCTTTTCCAATCAAAGGACAAGATAGTTTATTTGGGAAATCATGTATTTTCTTATAATATTTTATCACAATTATTAAATACATATTGTTTCATTGTAAAATATGGCAACATTCAGTAAACATTTTGTTAAATTGTTTGAAGGGAGTAAGGAATTTTAAGTCCTTGCCCCTCTCCATAGTGAACAGATATATATGTATGTGTATGTATGTGCATATGTGTATATTATGTATGTACATACACACACATATATCTATCCCTGATGCAATTTAACATTCCCACTCATGCCTTTCATTAACAGCTATCCACTTCTCCCAAAAAATCCCTAAATTGCATCTTCATAGAGTATTTCCCAAGAGTATTTCATATACATACACAAAAGCTAACTCCTCGGGGTCATTGATCCAAGGATTTCCTGCAGGATATCCTGTTTTTAGCAGGCTGAGATCAAGGAACTTGGCAACAGCAAGTGTTTTTTCAAATATTTCACTTCCCATTATTCTCAGAAGAAGCCCCCACAACCCAAGAGGGGAGCCAAGTAGAAGGTGTGATAACAATCTTAATGAGATAATTTAAAGGGAGAAGTTTTAAATTGGAAATGTTTGGTGAATATTATTGTGAAGTCAGGGCAAAGGAAAGGGTAGTGGGGGTTGCGTGGATAATTCCTCTGTATAGAAACTGAAGGCTGGGTGCCAGGAAAGGGGCTTGCCCAGCTCAAAAACCTATTTTAAAGGTCACCTTTACCTCTGCTTCCTCTCACTCACCCCTTAGAAGATTCTCTGAATTTCTTAGAATAGTTGGAAACTATGACAATGTGAGGAAAATAAAAAGATTACCATTATCATCTTGAGTTATGGCAGGGGCCCTGAGGCTCAGGACTGAGCTATGCAAGTCATCATAAATTATTTGCACAGACGTTTCTGTGTAAAATCTTGTTTTCCATTCAAAAATAAAATAGCTGAGGTTTCTAAATGTAGCGTTCTGCATGGGGATAGATGATGTATTTAGCACTCACTGTCACAAAGCTCTTAGCCCTACCAATAATTTCTCCGTGATGGACAAAAAGAAGTCTCTTTGAAATAGAATATTTGGTTTGACCAACTCTGAAGAAAGGCAGTTTGTAGAGAGTCCAACATTAAACAGTTTGAACCTAGTCCCAAGGGTCTTTGCTTATGCCAACTACTCTTTTCTCCCAATGTCTACAGTCAGCCAATCAGCCCAGAATTACTGGATTTTGTTTTGTTTCCCCTAAAGTAACAGCTAGTGCTTCATCTAAAAGTCAAAAAGTACTAAGGGAAAATTAGTTTCTGTAGGAACTTCCTTCTCATAATGATTCTACGGGTTTTGCCATGGAATAATGAGGGTTTAGAGGGAAGAGGCAGGCATCCAGAGTCAGAATTTGAGCTGCAGCTGGCACTGCTGGCCTTTATCAGCACCATCTCCACTAATTCACAGCAAGAGAGGGAGAAAGTATAACTCTGACCAAATCATCCCAAGTCCCTAGAAGCAGCAGGTCCTGCTGTTGTGGCCATTAGATCCAGATGATTCCCTGTCCAGTCCTTGGCGAGGAACCTCTTGCTGGCAACCAAAGTGGGGGGAAAGCAGGCCACCTCAATTCAGCTTCCCCCAGGTTCCTGCACTTCCTCCTCTCAGAGCTGTTCATTAGGCGCCTGGTTTGGATCTTTCTCCTGATGGGGCTGCTCATCCGGGATGTTCTGCAAGACCAAAGAAATATGTCACATGGCAGACCTTCATGACATCAAATGCTTATTGGGAAATGCCCCGCAGCAGTAAGTATACAGCAGCTCTACAGAGGGACTAATCTCCTTAAATCTTGGTTACTTATGGGTCCTTAGATCTTCTGCTTATTGGACTAATGGGCAGCTAGGTGGTACAGTGGATAGAGTGCTGGGCCTGGAGCCAGGAAGAGTCATCTCCCAGAGTTCAGATCTGGCCTTACGTAGATGCTTACTAGTTGTGTGACCTTGGGCAAGTTGTTTAATCCTGTTTGCTTCAGTTTTCTCATCTATAAAATGAGCTGGAGAAAGAAATGGCAAACCACTTTAGCATCTTTGTCAAGAAAACCCCAAATAGGGTCATGAAGAGTCTGAAACAACTGAATAACAAGTTATTAAAATTTAACCTATTAAATGTTGGAGCTGCATGCCAACATTTTTGGGATATGGTGTATATGTATATGTCGTGGTTCATCCTTTTGTTTGTTTATTTGTTTTGTTTTGTTTTGTTTAGGCAATTGGGGTTAAGTGACTTGCCCAGGATCACACAGCTAGTAAGTGTCAAGTCTGGTCTAAGGATGGATTTGAGCTCGGTCCTCCTGACTCCAGGCCGGTATCCACTGCGCCACCTAGCCAGCCCCATCCTTTGTTTTTGAAGAGGACCAATGGCATCATGGAGTGATGCCTTAATTTGTGCATAAATTGAATTTAAGAGAGGCAGAGTTGCACAGTCATGTCTCACTCTCTCTTCCAGCATCATTCCCAGAACTCACTGGCACGAAAAATATCAAGACAACTGGCCATGTCCCAGGATGCAGAGGATGACCTTGCTCTAAGCTCTCCACAGTGCCTGCTTCACCCACCTTCACGGCCATTGGAACAATTGTTCTTATCCACCCATTCCACAGGGAGAAGTCTTCACAAACTTGGGGGTAGACATCCCCCTAAGTCACTGATGGGTTTGAGGCCTATCAGTTACCCTCAACCTGGTTTAGCCCATCTGCCCAAACAGTTTTACCAGACTGTGGCATTCTCACACATGCTACAGCTTCTTGGAGCCACAGTGAATCAGGGGGCACCAAAGGTAAATGGGCAGCCCCAAAAATGGCACAGAAAGCCCTCACAGCCAGAGGTGCTAATCCTCCCTGAACATATACACAGATAAACGAGACACATACAAAGATACATATGAAGTAATGGTATCTATAAGATACATACAAAGTCGACAATACAAGGTAACCTTGGAGGGAAGGCCTGCAAAAAATGAGTTTGAATCTCAGCTCCGGCACCTGTGTAAACCAGCAAGTCACTTGACCCCTCTCTGCCTTAGCTCCCTCATCTATAAATAAGAGGGGCTGGACTAAGAATGTCGAAGGCCAATTAGTCAAGCACTTATTAGGCACTAACTTCCTAAGAGCTAGGCACTGTACTTTCAGCTCTAAGCAATGATTATCCTCTGACTCTCATGGCAAATTCTTTCTGCTGGAATGGGCTCCATGCTGTCCCCACCCCTGCTAAATTAAATCAATGGCTGCCTAATATTTTAAAATAGTGTTTCCCCAGTCCCTGTGGAGTGGCACTTACACATGGTAAACACAAGAAATGCTTGTCAGTTGACCAAGTTTAAGGCCAGGCTCTAAGGATTAGACTAGTAACAACATCTGAGGGCACTACCTCTCCTCTTCCCTTCTGGCTGCCACCTGCCCCCCTCTAGTAGATGTGAGTTAAAAAAAGATAATAACCATGATAATGATAGCATTTATATGCTGCTTTAAGTTTTGCAAAGTACTTACAAATAATATCTCATTTGATCCTCACAACAACGCAGGGAAGTAGACGTTATTATTATCCTTATTTTACAGATGAGGAAACTGAGGCAGACAGGTGAAGTGACTGGCCCAGGGTCAAACAGCTAGTATGTGTATGAGGATTAATTTGAATTCAGATCATCCTGATTCTAGGTCTAATGATCTAGCCACTTCATCAGGAGCCTACTCATTTGAACACTTGCCTTCAGAACACTAAAAAACAACCCCCTTTCTAATTGTCCTAGACATTGTATTATACCTTTTTTTTTTTTTGCTAGGCAATTGGGGTTTAGTGACTTGCCTAGGGTCATGCAGCTAGTGAGTATCATGTGTCTGAGGCCAGATTTGAACTCAGGTCCTCCTGACTCCAGGGCTGGTGCTCTATCCATTGTGCCACCTAGGTGCCCCTGTATCTTTTCTTAATTTGGTTCCTGCTGATTAGAAGAAATGGGCATAATTTCCTACTCTAGATCAAGCCAATCAATTTATTACCACTTCTACCTCCAATCTGCTTCTTGCTCTGCTAATCTGTCCTTTTGTGGATTTAATAGATCCCTATCAATTCTAATCCTACCTTATCTGTCATAGTCACAGTCAATCTTTCCCCATATCATCCATCCATCATCCCAAGCAGTACACTCTGAAACGCTACCAAGTGGTAGGAGAATTCTGGGTTTCAGGCTTCCTTGATGATGATACAAATCAAGTTTTTGTCTTTGCATGCCAGCTAGTGAGAGGGCCATGGGACTGGCCTTCTTAGCAGACTCTGTAACAGCAGCTACATGTCGTTTGGGGGTGAGTGGGGTCAGAGTCTGAGAAAAGGAAGAATATTGTCATTCATTCCTTTGTGGGAAGGAAGCTAAGGAAAGGTCCGGATGAGAGTATCAGGGGAAGAACAAGTGCCTTCTAATTAAGCATCTGGCAATTGATTGATAGCGTCTGAACTGTTCCTGCCTCTAGCTTCTGAAATCACTCTCTTTCAAAACATAAGCAAAATCATTCATTCTAATAGTCCAAGATGCCCTGGTTTTTCCTATTGCCTCTATCCTACCTGGCCCCTAGGTAAGAACCCAAAGATCGTGACTAACCATTATATAATGTAAAGATCCACATACTCACATTATTAGGTAACGCATTTGCATTTTGCCTCCGAAGATCTGCCTTAATGAACACTGAGCATAGAGGAGAAGAAGAGAGATATAAAATCATTAAGTGAGCTATTATCACGGACAAGTGCAGAAGGCATTTTCTCTACAAACAAAGGCAATATGACAGTGGAAAGAGTACTCAACTTTGAGTCAAAGGATGTTGCAGGTCTAATTTCACCCGTGACGTTAGCTTTTTGATCACGGGGAAGTCATTTAACCTCTGAGCTCTCAAGTCAGAAAAGCCTGAGTTTGAATTCTACTTCAGAGACTTACTAGCTGTGTGACCCTGAGCAAGTTATTTAACCTCTCTAAGCTTCAGTTTCCTCGACAGCAAAATGAGGGGGTTGGACTGTCGAAGGTCCCTCCTAGCTCTGAATCTATAAGCCTGTAAAATATAGATAATATCAGTAGGGGTTATCTCAAAGGGTTTTTGACAATCATATGAAATCCTGTTATACAGTAACATAACCTAAGTACTGTAGCACTTTATAAATCTCTAAGCTCTATATAAATGCCTGTTATCTTGGCACCCAAACTCCTAGAGAGGAAGCTTAGCCATCAACAACATGGTTGGTAAGCCTCTAGAGCCAATAAACTTGACAAAAGGGAGGTCATTTTCTGCAGATTGTGCACTCTCCACCCAGATTTGACCTTCTAGTGATCCTAACTAGCTGGCAGCCTTGCTTTCTACCATCACGCCAAAGAACTGGAAGCCCTGGGCATTTGATCAATCCTACTAGGTAGTGTAGTGAGGTGGAACAGTGGACAGAGCACTTGGCCTGAAGTCAGGAAGACCTGAGTTCAAATCCCGCCTCAGACATGTACTAGTTGTGTGATCCTGGATAAGTCACTTAACCCTGTTTGCCTCAGTTTCCTCATCTGCGAAAATGAGCTAGAGAAGGTAATAACAAAGCCATTCCAATATCTTTGCCAAGAAAACCCCAAATGGGGTCGTGAAAAGTCAGACCCAACTGAACAACAGCAGCAACTTACTAGTTATGAGAGTCCCTAAGGCAAGGAAGGCGCACAGAAAGACATTTCCAGCCACCGTTCCAAAGTGGTCGAGGAGCTGGCCCTGGCCAATGGTGAAAATGATCCCAAATATCTGGAGACACAGAAAGAAAGAAGACTGAGGTAGAGGAAAAACAAACCACATAACAAACAAACAAACAACAAAATCCAGTCGAGCCATCTGATCAACTTTATCACATCTGAAAGAAATGCAGTTGTCGGGAGGGGCCAAGAAGAATGGAGAGTGGGACATACCTGAGCAGACACATTAAGGAGACCTGAGGACATTCCTTCTGATTCTGGGTATGTCAGCTCCACAGCAAACTCAAATCCCAGTGGGAGGTACCCTGTCATGAAGAACCTAAAGACAATATTACAGGAACAATTTCTACGATGAGAGGATGAGACAGGAGCACCAAGTACACAGAATTCTGTCCTCTTCTTCTCCCTTCCCACTCCCTTTCTTCTACGTCTGGCCCCAAAACCACACCGCTTTCTCTGTTTCATCTGCCTCATTCCAGTAGGCGGGTCCTTGCTGGCATCAAGCCATCACCATAGAGTGTAAAAGGCCAAATGCCCTAATCACAACACAGAAAGGAAATAAGCAGCTGGCTTCACGTACTCAGCGGACCCTAGCAATTCAGGAAGAACTTCTGATGCAGGCCATCAAGGATGGATCGATGTTTATAGACGGTGCCAGGATACCTAGTATTCCTCGCCGGGGCTGCATCCAGAGATTTTGAGAGGTCCATGAATTTGGATTGGAAAAAATTATTTCTTTTCACCAAACTCTAACTGAAGGTGAGCAATCGCTCCAATCTTTTAAAACATTACTCTGAGAGGGGCTGCATAGGTTTTACCAGATTGTTAAAGGAGTCCATGACACAAAAAATATTGAGAACCCCTGGCTTAGCTCTTTAACTGAGAGACTTTGTTTGGCAGAAGTGGCTCAACTTGTCAGTTCTAATACTAATAATAATTTTGGTCACTGGGGGAAAAACACCACTGTGGCAGAGGCTAGAAAGTACATACAATGTCTGAGCTCTCAAGTAACATCTATGACACGGCAAGATGACTGAACTGAGACCAGCAACTCTAGCTGAGAACCTTGGGATTACTGTTTACTATTTCCAAACCCTACTGAACTGCGGCTCCTCCAGGAATGTCTCCCTCGCAGGAGTAGGTGCCTGGAATATTACTGTTGTTCATCCTTTGTTTTTGAAGAGGACCAATGACATCACAAGGTGAATTGGACTTAAGTGAGGCAGAGTTGCACAAAGTCACTCCTCACTCTTGAGTTCAGTGGCAAGAAAAAAGTTGAGACAGCTGGCAATGTCCCAGGATGCAGTAGATGATCTCAGAGTCTTTGATATCTGACCTTGCCCTAAACACCCCACAGTGCCTGCTTCACCCACCTTCGTGGCCTTTGGAACAAATTGTTTTCATCCACCCATTCCACAGGAGGCAGTGTTCACGAGCTTGGGGTTGACATCCCCTTAACTCACTGACGGATTTGAGGCCTATCAGTCACCCTGGTCTAGCCCGTCTGCCCAAATGGTTTTACCAAGCTGTAGCACATGCTACAGCTTCTTGGGGCCACAGTGAATCAGGGGGGCACCAAAGGTGGATGAGAAGCCCTGAAAATGGCTCAGAAAGCCCTCATAGCCAGAGGTGCTGATCCTCCCTGAACATATCCACAGATAAATGAGACACATACAAAGATACATATGAAGTAATGGTATCTATGAGATATATACAAAGTAGACAATACAAGGTAACCTCAGAGGGAAAGCCTACAGAAAGTGAGTTTGAATCTCAGCTCTGGCACTTGTATAACCCAGCAAGTCAGACGACCCCTCTCTGTCTTAGTTTCCTCATCTAGAAATAAGAGGGGCTGGACTAAGAACCTCAGAGGGCAATCCATCAAGCCCTTCTTAGGCTCTCACTTCTTACAGAACAGATAAGGGAAGGAGTGGTGGGGCAAAGGGAGAATTCCCTGAGATAAGCAGAGACCAGACAAAACAGTATTTTCTATTGTCTCTCGGCAGTTATTTCTACAAAATAATCTTGAGGGATTTCTAAATATAGCATCTAAACATGGAATAAAATCCTAGAAAAGGGTCCTAAAAGCTCCTTAGACACCAAAAGGAACTCTGAAGAGGAAGTGTCCTGATATTTACCAGCAAAGTGACAGGGAAGACCCAAGGCCCTTGACTTGTGCTACCCATTCAAGCAGAACAAAGGCCCCATTTGTAAAGGTCATCATGTAGGTCACCTGGCCCATGTTACAGATTGGAGAAGGCAGGAAAGAACAAGTACTGCTTCCCAGGATGCCAGTGTATTGAAGGATAAGGGGACATCACCTGCTAATTAAAATACAGTAGCAGCAACTTACCCCAGCATGCCTGCTGTGATGAACACAACCCATAGGTATCCAAGGCCCAAGGTCACAGTAAACACCACCATGCCCACCAGGGCCATGGAATAAACCACCACTGTCGTCTGTCTGGAAGCAAGAGACAAGAGAGTCAGTGGGAAATCCCTACATTTTTCATGTTGAGTACTGATCAGACCTGTACCTTATGAAGCATATTTCACAGATGTACTTCCTAGGCTCAAGGGTGCCTTTCCTCATAGTGGCAAACAACTTAGTAACCGGGGAGAGGAAAGCTTCCTTACACCAAGACCTTCCCGAAGTGAGTCTGTAGCCCTACACTGCATTCTAGGTGAGAAGAAGGTAAACGGGAGCATCAATAACATCTTTCTAAAAAGATGAACTTGAGGAAGAACTGTCTCAAAAAAGAGTTCTTGACGTAATTATAATTAGCATTTCTATAGTGCTTTAAGGTGGTTTGCCAAGTGCTTTACAATTATTATCTCATATGATCCTCACCACAACCCTGGGAGGTAGGTGCTATTATTATCCCCATTTTACAGATGAGAAAACTGAGGCAGATAAAAGTTGAGTGACTTGTCCAGGGTCACACAGATGGTAAGCAACTCAAGTTGGATTTGAATTCAGATGTTCCTGACTCCAAGTCCAGATTTCCCTGGCTGCAGGAATAAGACTCAGGGACTATCCCAGAGGCAGCCCACTTTCACGGCTGGGATTTTGTCCATTTTTACTAACTAGTCAGGAAAAAGGAACAGCTAGGTGGCATAGTGGATGGAGTGCCAGGCCTGGAGTCAGGAAGACTCATCTCCCTGAGTTCAAATCTGGCCTTAGACACTTACTAGCTGTGTGACCCTGGACAAGTCACCTCACTCTGTTTGCCTCAGTTGCCCCATCTGTGAAATGAGCTAGAGAAGGAAATGGCAAACCATTCCAGTTATCTTGCCAAGAAAATCCCACATGAGGGTCGCAAAGAGTTGGACGTGACGGAAAACCACTTAACAACAACAACAACGTCAGGAGAAGGGAGGGCAGGGGAATCTGGACCTGTATTTCATCAATATGAGGAACTTGTAACATGGAAATTCCCTCCACTAATTCTGACTGACAAGTCTTAGAAAATTGCCTAGGGATAATGAAAAGTTAATTGACTTCACTCCACTAGAATAGAGTTCCATTAGACATGAGTTCTACTAGAAGTCAATTCCATTGACTTCACTCCACTAATATTTGTCAAAGATGGGACTTGAACCCAGATCTTCTTGATTCCAGAGCTAGACTCCTATTTACTACCCTATGCTGCCTCTCAATATCGTTAATAATATTTAATATGTTAACCATGCCTTGCAATTTACAGAATGCCTTCATGTGAATTGTTTCATCTGAACCTCACAGCAATCCTATCAAATACAAAAGGCAGACACCATTGCCCAGATTTTACAAGTGAGGAAATCGTGGCCAAGTAGTTAAGACAGTTACATAGCGACACGTTGACTAGGAAATGACAGAGCCAGGGGCCTCGCTCTTACTCCAGTCCAACAGCGCATACAACGCTGTCTCTCCTTGCCCTGTCCTACACAAAAGCAACAAAGACATTTCCAATTCGACAACCAGAAATCATTCCATACCCCAGCACTACCAATCCCGGTGTCCATAGTTAAATGACAGCAACATGCATGGGTATTATAGAAGCAAGGATGTCATAGGAGACTGTGTGGCAAAGTAGAAAGCACAATGACTCTCGGGACAGATGACCTGGGTTCAGATCTCCATTTTGCAACTTATTATGTGACCCTGGGCAAATTACATAACTTCTGTGGGCATTGATTTCCTCATCAGAAAAATTAGAGAGTTGAACTGAATGCTCTTCTTTAAGGGCTCTTCTAGCGTCAAATCATATGATTATGACAATCTTGCCTCTACTTTCTTGATTTTGACCAGAAACCACGTGCAAATACTGGGTGGTAGTGCTGCTTTTTCTTCCTCTTCTGTCATTTGAGGCTACTTCCTGCTATAGCTTTGCGTAGTCTCAGCGAACTGCAGTTTGTCTACCTTAATCTGGTTTTCTTCTTTCAGGCCATCTAGTCAAGTGCTCAAAAGAGGGCTTACTCTTCTAACTCCAAAACAGGAGTTTTCCCCTTCATCTGTATCTCAAGGAAAAAATATCGCAGACTCATATCCCGATCCATGCCATTAGATCTTTGCGTTAGGGTGTGAAATTTAAACATCACAAATGTTAAATTTGTCTGTTCTTTTAACTCATGTATTCCAACTGCCTCCAAAGACTTAAGAATGAGTCCTACGCAAAGGGGAAAGAAGAACTACATGATAAGTTGAAGCAGGCTACAACATAGAACTTATGAGGAATTCAAAAGAAGAACAGAAGGAAAAAATGTGTTAATTAATCATATGATAAGAAGAGGAGATGGTTATATGGCAAGAATAAGGACTTATTTGTGAACAGCCCAATTACAATGTCAGGGGGAAGTAAAGAAGTCCTTCAGTAGGTTAAGTGGACCTCCTATTGTGAAAGTAGGGAAAATGTAATATGTAATAGTAATGTTAATAATAATAGCTATATTTGTACAGTACTTACTATGTACCAGGTACTGTGCTAAGCACTTTATGATTATTATTTCATTTATCCTCATAATAATCCTGGGAGGTAGTTGCTATTGTTCTTTCCATTTTACAGATGAGGAAACTGAGGCAAACAGCAGTTAAGTGACTTGCTCAGGGTCACACAGCTAGTAAGTATCTGAGGTCAAAGTTGAACTCAGGCCTTCCTGACTCCAGACCCAGCACTATATCCTCTCTATCCACCTAGCTGCCTCTAATATGCCTGAATTCAGGAGATCACAGCTCTGTTTGAGCATTCAAATGCTGCTGACACCCATTCCTCTAATTGGTCAGCTCCTCCATTTTAAAGAAAATGCCCAGGCTAGCCATGTTCACTCCCTTCTTCCTTTCCAGGCTCTTCCTTTCTGACTCTCTGGACCTTCTTTCTCCACCATGGCCCAACCTGGTTCCCTTTCCTCCATCTCACATCTATTCAGCTTCCTTATAGGGATTGTCTTCCTCCATTAGAATGTGAGCTCCCTGAGGACAGGGGCTATCTTTTCTTTGTTGCTATTTTTATTCCTAGCACAGTGTCTGGCACACAGTGCTTAAAAAATATTAATTCGTTTGACTTGACTTAACTATTCCTTTAGCATAATAGACAGAGATGAAGAGAATAAGATCTTAAATTGGTGAGGCAGAAGAAAAAGTTTCAGATTCTGACATGGCTGCTAGGAAAACACCATGGGTGGGGAATCTGTGGCCTCAAGGCCACATGTGACCTTCCAGGTCCTCAAGTGCGGCCCTTTAACTGAATCTAGACTTCACGGAACAAATCCCCTTAATAAAAGGATTTGTTCTGTAAAACTTGGACTTAGTCACCAGGCTGCACCCAAGGACCTAGAAGGCCACATGTGGCCTCAAGGCCGAAGGGTCCCCACTCCTGGAACCTCTTCATTCCCTTTCTCCCTTAAAGAAAAACCTGATTCACGTTTGTGCTCCCACCTTTAGTCAGTTTCTTCCTTCCCTCCTCTCTAGGAGAAGCAACCTCTTTACTGCCTTAAAAATCCTTGGTACCACTCTCCCTCCTCCCTTCTTGGCCAAGTCCCCTAGGATAAAACAAAAAGAGCATGGATAACAACAGCAACTAGCACTTATATTGTTCCTACTATGTGCCAGGCACTTTACAAATATCTCATCTGATACACACACCCTCAGATCACTTCCTACTCTGAGTCTGTACCCATTAGGCTACTATAGTAACTATTTCTCCCCATTCCACTTATTTTAGCTTAATTCTTGTATTATTTTCACATCACAAATAATAAAGTTGATTTGAGGGCACATTTAATGCTGCCAGAGTTGTGAGTTATGATTCTGCTCACACCTGCTTCTTGTCTTTCTTTCTTTCTTTCTCCAAGTTTATTCATTTCTGTGATAACAGGAAAACCTTTCCTGGTGCCACCAGAAGCCCCAATTCTCCTCATCCTCCAAACATCCTCAACTCTTTCCCAGCACACTTCCAGTGCCCCATCGGTTTTCTTGTCTGAAAAGCACTTGGAGCTCTATAACATTTATCCAGAAGCTCAGAAATATCCAGGGGCATCAATAAGGACACAGCTCCTAATGATTCAGATTAAAGTGACAGTTGATTCAAGGAGTTTGGGTTGCCTTGGTTGCCATAAGCATTGTGACCACAGACATAGAATACCCTGAGCAACCAAGCAGCTGGGAGTGAACAGTCTTCTTCCTCCTCCATTCCTCCCATCCCTACCCACTACCCTCTCCACTTAAAAAAAAAATAGCCAGTGGGAACACTATTCTAACCACTCCCACAAGTTCATCAAGCAGTCAGTCAACAAGCACTTTTTAGACTCTATGTACCAAGCCTTGTATTAACTGCTGAGAATCATCTGCACCGAGATAATGAAGGTGATGAGAACACCAAGTGAGACAGTATGAAGAAAAAAAGAGAAGAGAACCCAGGACAAAGACAACCATGATTAGTGGATGTGACTGGGATGGAGATATAACTAAGGAAACTGAGGAGAGGTCTGACAAGAAAGAGAAGAACCAGCAGGTTAATGCACCACAACTAGAAAATGTGTCTGTGTGCCAAAGGATACCTAATCTACTGTGGGCAGCCTGAGGCAAAGAGACCAAGTAGAAGGTTACTAGAATAGTCCAGGTGAGAGGTGATAATGGATTGCTCTAGGGATCTAGTAGGGCTCTCTACTTGGGAAGAATAGGAGGAGGGAGTGGCAGTGGGAGGACATGGTGACATCATTCTTCTGGAACCAAGTTCCACAAGGGGGTTAGAGTATGAGGATAGGGGATCAAGAGTAAAGTGAAATAAGACAGACCAGCATAATATAGTTCTCAACTCCCAAGGCCAAACCTTCAATGAGGGGAAGCACTGATATAAAACCAGGGGGCGTGTCATAGACCTGACCATCCCACAGTGTGTTTCCTACCATCAGGCTGCCCTTCTTGCAAATGACTTCACCTCCCAGTGTCCCAGACAATTCTAAATCGAAAAGCAAATGCTGATCTGCATTGGTTTGCTTTTTTTTTTTCCATCAAGAAATTCTCTATACTGAATTTCTTACTCAGCAATTAGCATAGTGTCTGCCATAGAAAGCATTTATAAATGCTTAAGAGACTGACTAAGGGGGCAGCTAGGTGGCACAGCGGCCTGGCCTTGGAGTCAGGAAGACCTGAGTTCAAATTTGGCCTCAGACACTTTGACACTTACTAGCTGTGTGACCCTGGGCAAGTCACTTAACCCTGATTGCCTCATCAAAAAGCAAAAATAAATAAATAAAATTTAAAAAACTAAAAAATTTGTCAAAACTCTAGGCAAGTCACTCAACCCCTCACCAAAAAAAAGAATAAATAAAAGAGAGAGAGAGAGACAGACAGAGAGACTATGCCAATGAAATCACAGGTACAATCCAAATACACACACATATGTATGTATGCATAACAGGAGCTAATTATCTGTTGTCAAGGCCCAAGGGCTGGGAGGTGGTACTGAGGCCCAAAGATTTCATTCTCTCCCCATTCTCACCACAGTGAACCCTGGAAAGAGGAAGCTGTAATATCTGCTTAGGGAGTAGCTAGTGCCCCCCGCCTTCACGCAGTGAAAAAATGTGCAAAAAATGTGCACAGCATACCTTGTGTCCCTAGTTCTGTCCTGCTCTGTGGCAAGATTCAAAAGCAAGGAAAACCTGAGGAAGTTCATACCTACTAGGCTAGGAGTTAAAACCAGGAGTATGTGACCTTTTAAAAAATATCTGGATAGCTATATATCTATATGTGTATCTATCTATATATTTTTATGCTTTAATATTTTGATAGCTACAGTTGATTTCCTTTGTAATTCTATCCATTTTATATTATGCATGAAAAAAATTTCTGAAAAGGGGTTACTTGGCTTCACCAGAAGCCAAAACAGTCCATTACACAAAAATGGTTAAGAACCTCTTGAGTCAGAGGACCTGGGTTCGAATCCCGAGTCTGCCACTTATTGTCAGCCTCCCATTGCCACACCTGCATAATGTTGGGCAGATTTTTAACCTCTTTGAGTCTTAGTTGGTCTGCTGGTCCCTTCCAGCTTAAAATCTGTGCTCCTATGGCACACAGACCCAAATACCTTCTCTGAGAACACAGGCCACAAAAACATGAAACAAATTTCAATTATTGGCCTTTTTTCCTGCTTTTCTTTCCTTCTGCCTCCTCTCCTTAAATGCAGCTGCCTCAGTAAGCAAGAAGGGAAGCCTCACTCTGATTTTTCCCTTCACTGCCTACATCCCCCTCCTTACTCTTACCCCCAGGCCAGAGTATCCATTAATGAAACGCCTAAAGAATAAAAGAGACTTACTTGTATGTTTTAGTTTTATCCAGCCAGATGCCTGAGATCATAGCCCCAACCATTCCTGTGATGACGATGGTCAGGCCAATTCTGCCAGCATTCACTTCTTCTCCCTGAGACACACACACACACACACACACACACACATATGCACACTCAGATCTGGGAGCAACTAGGAGCAAGACATAGGTCAAAGGATTTTGAGACTAAAGACACAGAAATAAGTAATCTTCTCCATTAGAAAGCCAGCTGCCCAGAGAAGACGCCAGTGTGTCCGGTAAGCAGAGACAAGAGACAGATTTCTCCATTTTCATGTTGTTCCAGCAGCAGATGTGATGCAGCAGGAAGAGTGGCTATATCCCAGCCTTTTCAGAAGAGGTATATGTTCCTCATGTACCAACACTTAGGCTCCCATTTCCAGAATTCACTGGTCCTACCTTAACTATGGAGAAACTAAGTCACAGAAGAATTTGGAGGAGATACTAAGTTGCCCATGAACTACCCACACATATCCTTGAGCAAATATCTTACTGGGTAGTTGGAGATCACCACGCGATTCAGTAATGTTGATAGGGCATAGAAAGCACCAGCATTCAAACCTGTAGAAGAGGGGGCAAGTATTAGGTCACATGCTATCTTTGCAGCAGCTACTGGTATAGGAGGCAAGAAATCTCACTGCCATTCCCATGGTTCCTGAAATCCCCGGAGAGCACTGGAATGGGAGCTCAGGAATCTAGCTTGGAGTCTAGACTCTTGACACATTCTAGTTGTGTGATCAGAGGAAAAATCACTGAGCTTATATGAGCCTCAGTATCCTCATGTATAAAATGAAGATAACAATACCCTACCTACCTCACATGGGTGTGTGTGTGTGTGTGTGTGTGTGTGTGTGTGTGTGTGTGTGAAGGAAGCCTCTATAAAGGGAGCAATGCTTTAGAAATGTGAACTAATGTAATGCATCTATTTTGATCTACCCCATTTGTTTCCCCAAAGAAACATTTATATGGTTACTAAAGACAAGAATCCTCATCAGCATCTTGCACTGCTGGATTTCAATCTTCTTAAGCCTAACGAGGGAGTGTATGTATGCTTGCTTTAATGCTACATTTCTCCAAGGATGGAACCAATAATATTTCTCTCCTGACTTTTGGCGAAGTTATATCCCTGTTCACCTACTCCCTTCCGTAAATTAGTCACATTCTTTCCAGAGTCCTTCAGACCACTGTACAAAGTGCTTCCCCTACCTCTTCCCCCTCCATGGCACCTTCTTTACTCTCCCACCCACAAAAGGCAACATAGCAGAGTACAGAGTATGCTAAATTTGCAGTTAGAAACCCTGGGTATGAATTCTGTCTTGAGGTCACGTGTGGCCTTCTAGGTTCTTGGATGTGGCCTTTTGACTGAGCCCGAATTTTATAGAACAAATCCTTTTATTAAAGGGATTTGTTCTGTGAAGTTTGGATTCAATCAAAGGGCCACACTTGAGGACCTAGAGGGCCCACCTCTGACTTAACCTCTCTTGTTCTCAGTTTCTTTTATTTGTAAAATAGACTTAGGTGACTTCCAAGGTCCTTCTAGCTCCAAATTCATTATCGTATGGTTTCTGTCATATATTTATTTATGGTAAGAGTTATTCAGGACTCCAAGAAATCCTCTCAGTTTTTTTTAAACATGTCAAAAATGTATCTCTGACTGCAACTAATTGTTTTACTAGGTCTCCAATATCCAAAGCTATCCATTTGATTGAGACACAGCATTTTCTCTGCCCTGAGTTATTCGGACAGTAAGTCTTTCCTCCAAACTCAACTTTAAGCCCCCCTTCCCCAACCCAGATTCCATCTGGGTCAAACTGCAAATAAGAAAAGCGACTGGCCAGTATAATGTAATACAAAGATCATAGGACAAGGAGTCAAGAGACCTTGGTCCTAGTCTCAGCTCTGGTATTAACGAGATATAAGGCTTTAGGGCAAGCAAGTCACTTAACATCCCTGGACTTCGGTCTGTAAAATGAGGGGAGTGGATTCAGTCAAACTGGTCGAAGAGCATTTCTTAAGGGCCTATTTTGGCAGGCACTGAGCTAAGCACTGAATGATCAAGTTCCCTCTTCCAATGATAGCATTCGATTACTCAGCTCTGAGATTCCTGAACCCTATTCATATTGCCGACCCAACCCTAATACGGAAGAGGTGAGAAAGGCACAGATGCTTGCCCTGAGATTGGTCTGGGTGAGCAGGTGAAGAAAGAGAAATGGTCCCATTGACACCAACGGGAGAGGAGCTCACTGCTGATTTTCCTGCACCTAAGTTTGAAGATATTTAAAGGAACTCAAGAATTTTATTTTTCCTGGCTATCTTGTATTAAGCAGTTCTCTGACTCTACTACTTTGATGTAGATCTCCAAAAAAATAGAATTCAGAGATACAGAAGGTCTTCATGCTTATGGAGATGCTACAGAAATCCTCCCCTCTTCCTAACTTTCTTGTTTCTGTTAAGAGCACCACTATCCCACCAGGCACCAGATTTACATCCTCAGAGTTATACTTGGATTCATTTTCCTTCACCCTCCATATCCGAAAGACGTTCTCTCCGCTCACGGCTATCATCACAGTTCAGACCCTTATCACTTTTCGTCTGAATTATCACAATAACCTCCTCACTGATCTCCCTGCAGGAATTCCCTCCCCTCTTCAATCCTTCCTTCATGAGGCTGCCACACTCAGATTTTCTTAAATCACGAGTCTGACCACTGTCACTTTCCTGCTCAAGAAGTCCTTGTGCTTTCTTATGGCCTCCAGGATAGATAAAACACAAATTCCTCCCAACGTGGCTTCGCTTGACCATTCCAGGCTCACTGCATTCTTCAGGCACTCTACATTCCATCCAAACTGACCTTTTGAAGGTGACATTGCACAGGGTTCCATGTCCCATCCCTGGACATGTGCACAAGCTGTCGCCTTGGCTTAAAATAGGATCCTTCCTCCCCTCCACTTCCTAGAACCCTGAGCCTCCTTTAAGATTCAGGTCAAATACCCTTTCCTACAGGAGCCTATCCTGATCCCCCAAGGCATTAATGTTCCTCAAATTACAAAACATATGCAAAGTAAAAAAAATATTTCTCTGTGTACACATCGTTTTCCCCTAACAGTGTTAACTTGTGGAGGGCAAGGATTGTTTTATTTTTCTCTTTGGGTTCACTGTGCCTAGTAGCACTTTAAATGCTTATTATATGAATGAATGAATGAGGCTCAGCAGCCTCACCTGGGCAAGTCACATAACTTCTGTTTGCGTTAGCTTCCTCTTCTGTAAAACCAGGAATAATAATAGCATTTACACCTCAGGGTAGTTGTGAGGCTCAAAGAAATTAATATTTGTTAAGTACTTTGCAAATCTTAAAGTGTTTTTTGTTCCTTTTTTTTTTTAAAGGCAATTAGGGTTAAATGGCTTGCCCAGGGTCACACAGCTAGTAAGTATGAAGTGTTTGGTCTGAGGCCAGATTTGAACTCAGGTGCTCCTGACTTCAGGGCTGGTCCGCTATCCACTGCATCGCCTAACTACCCCTTTCTTTTTATTTCTTTTTTTTTTAAGTGCTATTTGTTATTCAGTCATTTGTCAGTGTTCAATTCTTCATGACCCCATTTGAGGCTTTCTTGACAAAGATATTAGAGTAGTTCACCACTTCTTTCTCCAGTTTATTTTATAGATGAGGAAACTGAAGCAAACAGGGTTAAGTAACTTGACCAGCATCACACAGTAATTGTCTGAGGCTGGATCTGAACTCAGGTCTTCCTGATTCTAGGCATGACTCCATTCCACTGCATGCATCATTTAGCTGCCCCTAAAAGTGCTATATAGATGCTGATTATTATTATTTTATAATCTTCCTCCATGAAGTCCTCTCCTCTTCCTAACTTCTCTACCTATTCTCTTAAGTCTGGAATACCACCATATTCCCAGTCACCCAGGCTTTCAGCCTAGGTGTTAACCTCAGCTCCTCACTCTTTCCCATCCCTCATATCCAATCTGTTATTAAGGCTTGCTAATTTGATCTTCAAAGCATCCTTCAGATAAGACCCCTTCTGCCCATTGAAATAATGCCACCATTGTTTTCCCTCATTTTTTTTTTTAGGCAATTGGGGTTAAGTGACTTGTCCAGGGTGACACAGCTAATAAGTGTCAAGCGTCTGGTCTGAGACAAGATTTGAACTCAGGTCCTCCTAACTGCAGGGCCAGCACTCTATCCACTGTGCCACCTAGCTGTCCCTTGTATTCCTCTATTTTGAAAGAGAAACGAGATTTTCAGAGAGGTAAATGAATTGTTTAAGAGTATATGCTAGGGGGCAGCTAGGTGGCACAGTGGATAGAGCACCAGCCCTGGAGTCAGGAGAACCTGAGTTCAAATGTGACCTCAGACACTTGACACTTACTAGCTGTGTGACCCTGGGCAAGTCACTTAACCCCACTGCCTAGCAAAAAAACAAAAATAAGAGTTTATTCTGTTTCCCAATTGATAAATGGTCAAAGGATATGAACATGAAGTTTTCAGATGAAGAAATTAAAGCTGTCTATAGTCATATGAAAATAATGCTCTAATCACTATTGATTAGAGAAATGCAAATTAAAACAACTCTGAGGTACCACTTTACACCTATCAGATTGGCTAATATGACCAAAAAGGAAAATGACAAATGTTGGAGAAGATGTGGGAAAATTGGAACACTAATGCATTGTTGGTGGAGTTGTGAACTCATCCAATCATTCTGGAGAGCAATTTGGAACTATGCCCAAAGAGCTATAAAACTGTACATACCCTTTGATCCAGCAGTACCACTACTAGGTCTGTATCCCAAAGAGATCATGAAAAAGGGGAAAAAACCCACATGTACAAAAATATTTATAGCAGCTCTTTTTGTGGTGGCAAAGAATTGGAAATTGAGGGGATGCCCATCAGCTGCAGAACGGCTGAACAAGTTGTGGAATGTAATGGAATACTATTGTTCCGTAAGAAATGATGAGCAGGCAGACTTTAGAAAAACCTGGAAAGACTTTCATGAACTGGTGCTGAGTGAAGTGAACAGAACCAGGAGAACATTGTGCACAGTAACAGCAACATTGTGTGATGACCAACTTTGATAGACTTAGCTCTTCTCAGCAATACAATGATCAAAGACAATTCCAAAAGACTCATGATGGAAAACGCTGTCCACGTTCAGAGAAAGAACTATAGAGTCTGAATGCAGATCAAAGCATACTATTTGCTCTGTTTTTTTTCTTTCTCATGGTTTTCCCCTTTTGTTCTGATTCTTCTTTCACAACATGACTAATGTGGAAATGTGTTTAATATGATTGTACATGTATAGCCTATATCAGATTGTATGCCATCTTGGAGAGTGGGAAGGGAGGGAGAAAAAAATTTGGAACTCGAAATCTTATAAAAGTAAATATTGAAAACTATCTTTACATGTAATTGGAAAAAATAAAATACTATTAAGTGGGGGAAAATGAATGAATGAAGAAATAACTAATAAAGTAAAAAAAAAAAGAATGTGTCAATGGAGCAGAACTAGCCACTAAGAATCAATTTCACTTGGCTCAAATCCTCA